ATCATCTCAGCACGTCCCCCACCCGCCATCATCCCGGCCTCCTCTCAGCTGCATCTGTTACCAAAGCCGCACCCAGCCCAGGTAAGAAGGATGGCACCTGGGCAGCACTGCTAAAGCCCTTTGCCACCAAACACTGTCTCCTCCACCCTAAACACCACCTGGACCCGACCGCCCTGCTGCCTGCCTCCCGCCCGGTCCTCCCTGTGGTCCCTCCTTCCCCTGCAGTGTCCCATGCTACTTGGATCCAGGCACTCCTGGGTGGCACAGCCCTGACAGCATTCAGATGCAGCTGGCCTCTCCCCCACTGCGGCCTGCGACCCCCTCCAGGCAGCTGTCATGGGTCCTCTCGAGTGGCCCAGCCAGCTGTCCAACAACACGGCCACACCTGAGCTGAGAGTGGCTGAGAGGCCCAGCCCGCTGGGTGACAGGCACTTGCCTGGCGTGTGAACCAGACACTCCGGGTCTGCACACAGAGTGCCACCCCCTCCCACCCCCCATCAGCTTTAGCACCAACTTACACGATCCCTTTTCTTTCATAATAGTGGTGCTTTCTTTGGCAGGAAACTTTTGCAGACAGAACAAAAATAACTGTATTGACCTGAAAAAAACAATGAAAACAAAGTCACGTGGCCAGCTCACCTGTATCGTCACAACAGACCTTCAAACGCCAAACACTTCTGAGCATTTTCACCCTGTGTCTCAGGGAGGTGAGGCCGGGATGAGAAGTCCTCGGGCCCCACGTGCCATCTGCCTGCATGGGACCTCCCCGGGGGCTGGACACTGAGTGGTCTCACAGCGGGCGTGGGTGGGGACTGAAACCCGAATCCGTGGGTCTGGGGAAGAGGCCATATTATGGCGGATCAGCCTTTCCTGCTCTGCTGGCTGCTTGGAGGAGCCGGTGACCCAGCCGGCCCGAGCACCCCCTCCAGCCAATGCTCTGAGGACACTGGTTCTCATAGCCCCGAGGATCTTGGGTTCTGAGACTCCCGGGCCCTGTACTCACAATTATCACCGTTCCGATGGGCCCGGCAAAGCTCCAGATCAGGGTGTCTCGAAGGGACAGCCAGCAGAAGTCAGGGTTTCCGTAACCCTGGGGGTCCAGGCCCACTGCGAGTCCTGGACAGCACAGGAGGGAGAGTGAGGGCCACGCCCAGGAGGGGACCCTCCCCAGGGCCAGCCTTGGCGAGTGTGGCTGTAAGCGGGGCGTTCCCAGTCCCATCCAGGCAGGACCCCGGGGCCCCGGCACTGCCCGGAGGGAAGGGCCAGGAGTCCAAGATGAACAGCTGGGATGTGGCAAAGGCCAGGTCCCCTCAGAGCAAAGCCCATCACAGGGTCAAACCACAGGCCCACATAGGTCCACACAGGCCTGGGCAGCCACAAGGAGCCCACCTGGGCTGGGGCTGCTAAGAGACACCAGAGACAGACAGGGGTGGCACCGGCGGGAACGGGCACAAACAGCTATGACAGAACGACAGGAAAGCCAGGACACCTGTGACAGACCTCAGGTGCGAG